CTAGTTGGATTAGTGAATTGTTTGTGGAACCAAAATGGGTTCTATTCATGAAAGTAATGGCAAATGACTAAGGGCTGCTTCTCTTCATGTGTTTCCTGATTCCAATATTCTTTCTTCTTCTCTTAAGATTTGCAACATACAATAACACTGTGTCTGAAAAAAAAAATCACTATATTTAGTAACCACAACACAGGCCTAAAGGGCTAAAGCCTAAAGGTACATACCGCACTATATTTTGAATCGCACAGACTACAGAGTATATAAAAACATTGATTAAAAAATGAGTTAACCTGGAGTCATGAACAATGAAAGAATATTTTATTTTGTCATGAATGTAGTACGGAGTATATACTTTATCTGTCCTTGCCATTTTTTATTGAATACTGAGTCCGGCCCAGGTTTTAGGGTTCAGGATAGGTTCCCGGTACCCAGTCCGTCCGGGTCCTGATTCCGGACTCCGGAATTGGGACCAGGTTCCAAGTGCAATCGAAAAAAGAAAAATATGGAGTTCGTAGTAATAATTTTTTCGGACGGGAACCAGTGGATTCGGGCCCCAAATCAGTGAACTCGAATTGGTACCCAAAATGATCGGATAGAGCCAATTTTAGCCTGAAATTGGAAAAAACAGATCTGATCCGAATCTAAATAGTACCGGACTCACTTCTAGACCGAGCTGGACTGAGTCCCGTACCTACTCCCGTGTATAGGTTCCCATATCAGAAGTACATGATATTTTGGGACACGTAAGTACGTAACTAAACAAATTAGTTTGAGCAAAAAGCATAGGAAATGTAGTCCAAAAAATTGAACAATTAAAGTAGTTGAGTGGATGGATATGATTTGGTGGACTAATTTATGAATAATAATGTGATAATGAGTACTCATTTATTTTTAAAAACAAGCATAAAGTTACTCTATAATTTAATACTTCGTATATGTAATTTTTTCTTGAACGGCAAGACAATCTTCATATACAACATCCAAAAAGTAATTGTGAAACCTTAAATTTATACAGCCAGAATGGCTCTTTGGCTTTTCATACTTATTACCATTCCAATAATATATGGTATTTATTGGGGATTTAATTTAAACAGTGGCATTACAATTTTAGCTTCCCTCGATATTGGTTGTGGGCAAGCCATTGAAAGATTGTTGTCCAATTGGTCTTTAACAAAAGAAAAAAAATGAGTTTTTTTCTTGTTAAAAATGGAGTAACTTCAGAGTTCTTGAAACGTGAAAGTGAGATTAAAATTTATTTTATAGAAGTATCTATAATCTCAAACACTCGAATCATTCACTCTTACGCAGGGCAAATTATGTGCATGGTACAATCCGGTTTTTTATTGTTGATGTGCTTCCCTCACCATCGTTGACATAGATGGATGGTTCGTCGCTCGCATCAGACAGATAGCCACTCTCCGCTCACCCAGACCAGGGGTGTAGCTAAGGGGCCAGCCCGAGTCCTGGCCCAGTCCAGATTTTAAAAATGTTTATTTTTCAGCGTAAAAAAATACGAGTAAATTTTTCCCAAAAATATTATTTGTACCGGTCATCCAGTCCCGCCCTCCGCCCCTGACCTAGACGGAAGCTCACCGCTCGCCCCCAAACAAACGGCTCGTTGTACATACCCAGACGGTCCTATGCTTGTCTCACACCATATACTCATGCACATGGCTCGCTAACTCCTCCTAACCGACGAAACTCACGCGATCACCGTAGGTCAGATTGGATCTCGTGATGACCAGATTGAAGCTTGCTTATATAGTGCCCAATGCTCAATAGTAGAGAACACGACACTCAATAAAAATGTTTTGATGCTCAAATGAGCTTTTGAAATTTTTTACATTCATTTTATAAGTTTTGTATGACTTTGGATCGAGCAACCTGATACTCAATAGAAGTGTATTAATGCTCAATTAACACGAACCAGGATTTTCACATACAAATGTAAGATATACACCGTACAACAAGTTGTGAGACATACAACTCCTTACATAGAGCTACAAGAAACAAGTTCAATTGGATGTTTGCCATTGGCAAGTGGGTGTAGTTTTAAGTTGATGTGATCACAGTGTGAATCTGTGAGACTTTTAGATAAGGGATCCTCTAACCCAAACTAATTTGAATAGATATATGTTGCAATTTCAGTTGGGGACCGAGAATAGTTTGACAAAATCGGGATCACATCAAATTAACAAACAAACAAAAACAAATTCAATTATTGTCTATATTTTTGTGTGTTGTGCAGAAGTTTTGTTCAATTTCTTAATTCTTAGGCAAAAGTGCTATAAAATCAATCAAGTAATTAAGAGAATAGGATAAAGACGACAATAATTACGTAACGTCCTACTAATACTCTTTCTGCACTTGTCTTCCAATGGGTTCCGCCGCAATGTTCCACTAAAGTCTACAAAATAATGGCATAAATGAGATTGAAAGGTTAAGAGTTTCATGCATCAAGACATAAATGCCATATTTGTTTCATTGTTTGTGAGTGTTTTGTTTTAACCTTTTCAATACCATAAAGTATTTTGAAAAAATGTTTCCAAAACCTAAATCTTAATAAGAATCTCGTATGACCTACTATATACTTCGTATTAAACATTTTCACATGCATCATGACCACATAGACCAATAAACAATCATTTGTAGTGTTTATGACGATTTTGTTATCGGTTTAGATAAGTGATAGAGTCGAGGGTCGAACTCAAATTTTAAAGCATTTCAAATATCTTAAATCCAAATTCGTATAATTATATACGTAGTAATGGTAGTATATATAATTAATACGGAACGTCGATCAAAACTAAGCAAGTGATGCATGAAAATAATACAGAGTACATTTTTTATCCTGAGTGAATTCATAGTGATTTGACAATGAAACACGTTGATGGATGTCACAGACGTAGCCTGAAACCCGCACGGGTAGTTCAACTGGTAAAACGGGGGAAAATTGGACAAATGATTAAGAATCGAAACCCGAGTGATCGTGTGGGGGTCACAACTCCTATGTGTATGGGTCACAATTCTGGTGCACATGAGTTTAAGATCTATCATCGATATGATTGGTGGAGTTATCGTGATTTAAAACCTCCCTTTATTAGGTGATTCAAGTCGGGTGTGGGAGGGGGGAGGCATTGGGATTAGGGAGCCAATCTTTTGAGCAAACTGACGTAACCTGAAGACTAAATTGGGCAGGTAATATGAAGACTTTAAGATAGCGAGTATATTTTTATTCAAATTCCTATCATTACTACTAAAATAAATGTTTTTATTAAATTTGGGTGAGTTTGGGCCCTATCATTCCCCTTAACTACTCCCCTGATTGAAGATAAGACTCTTTTTCCTCTTGGTGTATGTGGTCAATGTGTGGCAGATGATGCATCGAAATTGAAATGATCACTTTTTTAGCAAACTCTAAATTTATTACTTCTTGATTATTGCATTGTGTAATACTCCCCTGTCTATTTGGAATGTTTCTAGTGAATAAATGACACGGTTTTTAAGACAAGATGTTAAATAAAATAATTTAGGTAAACAAGTGAGAAAAGATAAAATTCTGAAAAGTGTACATATAATAAGTAAGAAAGAGAAATCTGAATAATTGTGTAATTAAAGAGAATAATTTTTTTTTTCTAAAAGAGAATAAGAATCTTTAAATGAGACACCCAAATAAGAAAAGTGAGAATCTTTTAACCCGACAGAGGAAGTAATTGATAAAATTGAATTACATTTCCAACTTGTGTGTACGGGTAAATGGTCTACTCCGTTGGGTTGGATGATTCATCATAACTTACAACCTCTCAAATGCGGGATGTGGAGGCCCTAATTGGGCATTCAATCTTTTGGAAAATTATTTCATGTTTCAAATTGATAATTTTAATCCTAATGAAGGCGTGTGTTGCAATTGTGTTCTTTTAGTTTAACATTATATCGCAGTCTTATATTTTAGGACTAATAAAGCATAATTTAAATTATTGTAATTGAATGACCTCTTAACCTTTTTAACATGGACAACAATTTGTCAGCCATGGGAGGCAATTTGATACTCCTTATTACAGATTTACAGATAACCTTTGATATTAACAAATGTGAACTGCTAACACTGGGAATCAAATATTTTTTCAGTTATTAATAAACACATTATATATCAATGAACTTTTATATAGTATTACTCAACAACTTTTCCAACTACATATCAAAACACAAAAATTTCAAATATTAATGGATGCCAACAAGCAATATGTTTCTTTTGCTTTGTATACTTCCCCAAACTTAACTTGCAATAAAAAAAACAAAAAGAATTTTTGTACAAGTTACAGCGGTGGGAATAATAATATAAACCATTAATTTATATATTTGACTTGCACAAAAATAAAAGAACTTTTGTTAATAAAATTTGCGGTATGAGGTGGTTCTCGGTGAAATTTGTTAATAAAATTTTGTGTGAATGTTTTTCATAAATGTGAATTATGTCCACAAAATTTTAGCTTGAAATTCAATCGAGATGTGAGTTAAATAAATTATTGAAAAACACTGTGTTGTTTATAAAGTGGTATTACTGCCAATAGTGATAATGTTTTTCAATTATGGGAGTAACGGCTCTTGTTTCGAAATGAAAAGCATAATAGTCCTATTCTTATAATAATTTCATATTTAAAGTTTAAAGCTTTCTGTTTACTAAAAAACATCAAAAGTCATAGCTTAGCGGTCATATTTTTCCATACGGAGACATATACTACTAGCATGACCTAAAAGAGAAACGATAGTAAAAATTTAATGTGAAATTAAAGGACACAGTGATTATAACTTTTATAAGTATTTCCTTAGTTCTAAATTTCCAAGTAAAGATATACGTAGTACGGAGTATTTGCTTAGATTTTACTGTTTTTTGGATAAACAGAGCACCAACCAGGCAACCAAGGGGATATTCTGTAGTTTTTTCAAATAGAATTGGTAGTGTTGACTATTTTATGACACATATGACAAAAACTTGAGGACAGATAAAATAATTAAATGAGAGCAACTATGAGAAGATTGGACAATTTGGAAAAGAAAATGAAAACAACATGCTCCTTAGTCCTTACTCCTTGATATCAATCTTGATCCAAATGATAAAGACTTGTGAAGTAAATCAAGAGTAGTGTACCTGCTTCTTTTACAGAGGGATTCATACACATGCTTTAGTATCCACCATAAAAAGTAAAAATCCTACAACTTCCACACTATTAATACAAACTATAATCCAACTTAGCTTGACTACAAAAGAGACAGCCTGTTTAAAGGCATGTTTTAGTGTTTCCGAATCCATATTGCCCAAAAAAATGACATTTATTTTTCACAAGAGTAGCACCAAAGCCTCGCCTTGTTCCCTCCAAAGAAATGTTTCGAACATTTAGTCTCCATAGAAGGAATAGCAACCTCCTCCACGATCCAGTTGTGTAATTAGATGGGTTCAGATTCTTGATTCTTTTGAATAAATTTTGGGAAATTACAAATTTATAATAGCCTCAACAACAAACCAAACAAGGCAACCATGGTCAAAATGCTGGGCAGCCAGAAGTGACAGAAAATTTGAACCATCTTTTCTTCTCACTATACACCAGACAAGGCTGTAAAACCATTCCAATGAGCAAAGCCAAGACGCTAATGGCCATGACTTTAAAGGAGGCAAGTCCTAACACCACAAGAATACATATTGTTGGCGGTATACACATAAAGATTGAACCTTTTGTCCCCAATGGTATCTTGTAAGGCCTAGAAGCTGCTGGGTATTTCATCCTCAACTTCACAAACGCGATGAACTCCATTATCATCCCAAAACAGTACAAGAAGTTCTCTGCTGCGACAATTTCTTGAAAGCTAAGCCACGACAAGAGAACGACACCCGATGCAGAGAAAAGAATCCCAACAAGAGGTGTCCCATGGCGGGACCTCTTGGCGAAGACTTCCGGTAGCATCCCAAGTTGAGCCATCCCAAGAAGCTGGAAGGAGTCACTGCTCATCTCAGCCAAGAACATACCCATGTTTGACACTGCTGAAGCGACTTGGACCCACGATCTCAGCCAAAGGCCTCCTACAGTTTTGGCAATATCCGAAAAGTACCCGTCACTCCACAGACCACGGTCAACAGGCAAAGCTCCAGTACCTATTAGAAGAGGAAAAAAGTAGCCCGACACAACCAATAGAAGAGCATAGAAGAGGGCCTTAGGGAGTGTTTTGCCAGGATTCTCCACCTCACCGGAAAGAGTGCTGATTGAGTCCCAATAGTTCAAATTCCAGAAAAGGGTATTCAAATAAAGACCCCAATCGACACTCCCCATGTCCGACAACTCAAGCCATCTAGAAGGTTCAATCCTAGGAAGCGAGATAAGTCCCATAAACAAGAAAGGAAGGAGGGATAGCACTCCTAAGAGTATTGCTACCCATCCAACCACATTTAAACCTCGGTAACTCAGATAAGTGAGAGCTATGGTTAAACAAAAGATTGCGATTGCCCTAGGAAAACCGTCGGCCAAAGCCGGGATAGCCGACTTCAGATAGTCCAAGAATAGTACAGGATAGAGTGCATTGTCAATGACACCACTTAGCCACTTCATCCAACCTTGCTGAAATCCCCAGTAAGGACCCAAAGCAGATGATACCCAGACAACATATCCTCCATTTTCAGGGAACATGGTTCCCATTTCAGCAGTTATTAGGGCTTCTGGTATGCTCCATACAAGTGGAAAGATCAAAAAGCCTAGAAGTGCCAAAAGTGGACCAGCTGCCTTGACACTGTCTTCAACACCAAAAGGACCCCCAGAGACCTCATAGAATATGAGGAAAACAAGAGGAACTATAGAAACCTTCCCAAAGTTCTCTAGCCTTGGAGAAGCTCCTTCATTCAAACCCAAATATATTTCTGAATCGTCTTTGCGCATTGTGATAGGGGCTTCTATATAACCCGAGGGATTTACTTACTACTGCAAAAAAAGGTAGGGACATGAAAAAAAATAAATCATGAAAAATGTTCTTTTATCTCTGGATTTGGCTTTGAAATCACAAAGTAAAATGAAATTCTAATAGAACTTCTAGTCACTTTTAGTGCGTTCAAAGATTTCACATAAATTTAGATTTCTTGGTTCTTATAAGTAATAAGATACGGAGTAGAAAAATAAAGAAATTACAATAGATTTTTCCCCATTTTTCTTTCCTTCTAAAACCCTTCAGGTTTACTTCTTAATTCTTTACCTAATATTTTCTGAGTTCTAAACGGAACCTAATAATAGAACTGAGATAGTACAAGCAGTGTTAGGTGAATCTGGTGACGTAGGAGGGAGCGAGCAGCTGTGATTCCTTAATTTTCTAATCAATAAAACAATAATTTTAATTTAACACCAACAAAACACGTAGAAATTGATGAAAACTAGCCAAAGACTTCAAGGTTCAAATTCATACAATAGCATTACTGCAACCTGAAAAGACTCAGAATAAACACCTAAACCGACATTTACATACAGATTAACGTATGTTCTGACCCAATATCCAAAGAAAGGGATTGAATTCGTCATAAAGGCGCAGTCTTTGAATGATGAAGCTCCGGTGGAAGAAGATTACCTCAAGATCCAAAGGGTTGATCGCTTGATTGGGATAAGAAATTGAGAATAATGTACTGAAATTGCACCAGGCAGTGTATATTTGAAATGAGTGTGAGCTACGAGTCATCACCGTACGTCGACACGAGTTGGTTGCTGCTGACTTGTGACATGGAAGTGTCGAGGGAGAACCTCATGCTTTCTCTCTCTCTCTCTATGCTTCCCAAAATTTCACAAGTTAGGTTGAGTCAAGCTTGGTTTTTAGTGATAAGCTAATGCAGTACTTATCACTTATCAGTTCTTTAGGATGTTTTTTTTTTGGACTGAAATTTGCTGGTCTGGTTTGGTCTGATCTGGTATGTTTAAGTCTGGTCTGGTCTGGTCTGAACTGGTCTGGTCTGATAAACGTCTGGTCTCTTTGTATTTTATAACTGTCCAGATCTGGTCTGGTCTGTTAAAGTCTGATCTGGTCTGGTCGGGGATTGAAAACAGTCCAAAAGAAAACATCATTAATGAAGTTGCAACATTTTACTTTATTCATACTATGATCTTTCTTTCACCTTGATTTTCTATTTTTTTTTATTCCAGTAATCAGAGATAAAAATCACTCCATTATATGAAATATATATAATCGAATTATTATGTATAAAGTATCACTATATTCGTTCTGTAATGTAAGATGCATTTAGGTTTGATGCGAGTTTTAAGAAAATAATGAACAAAATAGTTGTTTAACAATTTTAACTTCCAAAAAGTATGAAAGAGTAAGATGTGTGCACAAAAAGTAATAAATAAAATTATAGATAAAGAGATACTCCCTCCGTAACATTCATATCTTCTCACTTTCCTTTTTTGGACGTAACATTTATATCTTCCTATTTCTAAATCTTCCCATCATACCCTCAATAATTTAAAAAATAATACACTACTACACCTACTTTTTTTGGATTTATCCTTCATTCCATCACATTATTTCACCATCTTCCCATCATATCCTCAATAATTCATACTCTATTTCACTATTCTTAATCTCACCCACTTTGGAAGTGGGAAGATATATCTGATACGGAGGGAGTAATATGGAAAAGTTAAAAGTTTATGGGGTCTGATTCAAGAAAGTGATCATATTTTTATGATAACTCAAAAAGGAAGGTGTATCTTACAAAATAAGATGAAAGGAGGAGTATTAAATTTCTTGATGTTGGCTTTCATAATATAAAATACATCTGCCAGCTACCTGTATGGCTGTATGATTAAGTCTGATTATTATTCTCACGTGTATCAAGAGCATATGTTCTTTACCCTAAAAGTTCTTAAAAAATAAAAATGTCACCTCTCTTCATCGGCTATCATGGTTGAGTTGTCATCCTCTTCTATTGTTGCGGCATACTCTCAGGTTACGTCGGAAATTCTCAGCAGCGTGCCACCTTTGGACACTTCCACATCATCGTTTTTACGGTTCGGTCATTGGTCGTCTCTGACTCCTCATTAATGTAGTCTACTCTGACCATGGTTCCTCCTTTTACTTTGTTTGCTAATTGAGGATTTCCAGGCTCCCCTTCAGTTGGAACGTCTAGTTCTGTCCTTCTTCCCCCCATTGTGTGTCAAATTTATTTCTCCCAGGATCATTCTGCTATTACATGCCCCTCCTGTTTTAATCCAACATTTACACCTGTGCCCTGACTGCTTCAACGTCTAAACACCCTGATATACCTCCATAGAAGATATTTTAGTTAATAAATCTATTTATTTATCTTTATCTTATCCATTTTTTATGTAATCTCTTTTTGACATCGATATCATGGATTGATTCATGTTAACCGACCCCAAAATATTTTGGTATTAAGAATAGGCTGTTGTTGTAAATATATTTATTTAGTTACTCAACAGGTAACAATAGCTAATGGTACTAACATAGTTGTGGTTCAAACTGGGAGTGTGAAATTATCTTCTTTGGCTCGCCCTCATTAGTTAAAATTGGTTTTTCTTATGCTTAATCTGAAAAATAATTTAATTCCTATTTAGAAGTTATGTGTCGATAATAAATTTGTGACAATTTTTAATAAAACTTGTGTTTTGAGAAAGGACCAACACACGGAAAGGTCCAGAGGTCCTCCTTCAGGATCCCATTAGCTATTCAATTAAATTCATCCCCCTCACTGGCTCTAGTTAGTAAAGTTGCTCTTGGACATATCTGACATTGAAGATTGTGTTTTGATCATGTTTATCTATACTTAAGACTAGTAGATGTATTTTTAGTGATTCATCTTATTTTATGATTGTGTATCTTGTCTCATGATTGTGTATCTTGTCGTTTAGGCAAATGTCGATGATTACCATTTCAGGATGTTATTCTCAAGTCAATTAAATATTTACAATTTCAGGATGCTAATCACAAGTCAATTGAATCTTTACATTTAATTCATTTGATATTACCGAAAATGGGACTACCGTGTTTTGGCAGTATCAGACTTCAAACATGGCAGTATTTTCCAAATTTGGCAGTAATTAGTCCTATTTTGGGAATAAAAACATGACAGTCCTATTTTGGAATTTTTGAACTTTTTTAGTCCCATTTCGTTTGGTGGTTCCCCATTCTTTTTATGTTTGTCTCGTGGATGATTTTCCAGGTTTACGTGGATCTATCCTATGCTTGATCTCAAATATGGCGTCGCTCATCCATTTGAGTCATGAACCATCCGCTTCCTCTGATCGTTTCTTCTATATAACAATTATATTGTCTTCTTATCTTACGCGCATATTCTTCGTCTCATCATGACCTTCATGGGATTCATGGCAAGAGAAGCTTTGACCTTGCCCAATTGCACATGACATAGGATTTCTGATTTGGGTAGAACAAGGAAATGGGCTTCGTCAAATATATTTTCAAGCTAGTTAGTACGGAGTAGGCTTGGACTCGGGCCGGGTCCGGGTCGGGCCGGCGGTTCAGAATTGGTGGACTCGGGGCCGGACCGGGTAGCCACCGGGTCCGGTTCGGGCCTCCGGTTTGGTTATTTTTTTTTTTGCTTTCCTAACCCCTCACCTCCCCACCCCCCCAAACTCCTCCTAACCATCAAGCCCAACCCGGGTGGAACCCCAAAAAATGAAAAAGAAAAAAAAAACAATCTGGCCTGGGTCCGGGCCCGACCCGGCCGGGCTGGTTCGCCAAATGAAAGACCCAAGCCCGGACCCGCCCCCCACCCGGGCCTAGGCCCGACCCGGGCCCGAGAACCGGGCTGGTCCCGGTCCCACACAGTAACGGGCCGGGCCGGGCCGGTCCAGGGGCCGGGTGGCCCAACCCAAATCCACCCCTAGTACGGAGGGGTTTGTAAAGTTGTATAACTCAAAATAACGTTGTTTCATTTTTTATCTGAATGACGCAATATTAAAGATTATTGAACTTTGTGGGTGCTCACCCTTGAACAGCTAGAGTAGACACACCCAAACCGAAGTCTCGATCAATAATCCGACATCATTTCTTAGAAAGTTATCTAATAAGCTTTTTATTTTTTACAAAAAGTTTAAATTTTCCTACAAATTATTTTTTTATGGTTAGTAGTGTAACTTTTTATTGTAGTGAAGATTCTTGCTACGACTCAATTCTACTACTCAAGCAATGAAACAATAAAGGTCATTGGATAAAAGCTTGCGCCTGGCGGTCATGCAATTGTTGACTTAGGAAGAGATATATGGATAATAATAATATACGGAGTACCACGTATGTAGTAATAAACATACAAAAAGGTATAAAAAAAACACCAAGGACATAAAATTTCCATAAAAATTCACATACACCATACATGACAGACAATAATGTCAAGTGACTCGGGGTCAAACGTCTAAAACAGCTAAACGTGTGCTTTTCATGGGGTTGTCTTGCAAGTGTTATTCGGGTCCAATTGACGGTAAACATAGTTCCCAACATAGTTTGGTGGGGGCATATGTACAGGGATTTTTGGATTTGTTGCACGGTTGCACCATATATGCCTATATGGCAGCTCAGTCCTCTTCAGCTAAAATGGGAAGATGATCTGGTGCCAAAAGACTCATTTCTTTTGCCAGAAACACATAATATCCATCTTTGTCGTCTCTTCTATTAAAATCAGCAATCATTGACTAATCATGCAGTATGCATACATATGTTCATCATCGTCATCGTCGTCAGCTCATCATCATAGTTATCACCAAGGTCCGATCTTACAAGTCCATAAGCATCACCTGTAATTACATATAAAATAAATCTTCTTCCTCTGCTACCCACATCATCTATTGCATACGCTCCTCCGTAACAACACTATATCTCCGTGCTAATGATCACTAAAATATCTACTTCATCACCCAAGTCCTCACTACCATCGATTGCATAATTGCCAAAATCATAAGCAACATCATTTCAGTGATGTTCTTCCTTATCTACCGTGCCAACCACTTCATCACTAGCCATACCTCCACGACCATCATCATCTTTTTGATCCTCTGCAACACTCACGCTATAATCTTCATCAGACCCTTCTTCCACCTCATCATCATCCTCACTAACTCCGATGTCATCATTGTTGGAATCATCAGCAGTATCATCAAAAAAATCTTCTTCTTCATCCTCCTCTTCCCCGCCATCCATTTCATCACTAGCCATATCATCATCATTTGAATCCTCTTCAACACTAATGCTATCATCTTCGTCCATTTGATCGGCAATGAACCTTTCCACCATTTCATAACCATCTTCGCTCCCATCACCACTCTCATCATCATAGAAGTATTCATCATCACTCTCATCATTATCATCAGAACTTCCAGAGCCATAGAACTTCACATTTTTTACACAACAAAAGTCATGAATGAACATTTTTTATACTATCCAACATAATATGTGGTTAAGATTCAGAATCAATGGTACTTAAAATTTGGCATGCAAGAGATGGCCTCAAACTGATCATAAACTGAATTAAGAGGAAGGTAAAGATTGGACAAAAGGAGAGATAGTTTGTGACAAGTCAATCATATAACCAAGAAAATGAAAATGTTTTAGTTTTCTGGCAGATGGTAAACCACGGACATGATGAAGATTATTAAAGTTGGCCTTCAAGAAGGCTTTTGTATACATAAAACCACAAAAAAATTGAAATCATGTTTAAGGGGTTCAATAGGTTCTATAAAACATGGACCCAAAATTTTAAGGGGCCAAAATGTTGGGGTCTCTAAATACGAAGTTCATGCCTCTAAGGTATTCTTCAAATGTACTTCACATTGGCATCACAGCATAGTAACATACCACCACTTTTTAAAAAAATAAGGCTTCTAAGACTTCCATGAGACGACATTGATATAAAGCATAACCTCGGCAGCTGGGCTTGGAAAAAGAGAAGCTGGTCAAAATTAATGAAGGCGGGGACGGGCTTGAGCCCACCTTCTGGGCTGGTTGCGAGCCATTTAATTATTTTTTTTTGCTTTATAATTTTTCTGATTTATTTTCTATTTGGAGTTAATTAGGATTTATATTATTTGTTTCCTATTTGGAGTTAATTAGGATTTCAATTACTTGTTTCCTAGTTGAAGTTAATTAGGATATCTATTATTTCATTTCCTATTTGGAGTTGATTAGGATTTCTATGATTTTGCTTCCTAGTTTGAGAATTAGCAAATGAGTATTTAAACCCCATTTGCTATCTATTAATAAAAATGGGTTTAAGCCTTTTGGCTTTTGGACAACGGTTTCTACCGTTGATTATTCTGGGCAACGCTTTATTCCGTATATTTTTATTTTCCGTTCTCATCAATTGGTCCGACTTGCCGGATCTCGTTCCCCCGGAATGACGAGATCTTTCAGCGATCGTTTGACGAAGTTGAAGGCCGAACAGGCCTTGATGAGTCAGAAACTTGACGCGCAAGGCATCCAACTGACGAAAATCGCAGTCTCCCTGGCTACGCTCACGAAGGCGCTCGCGACGCCAGAGATGAAAAAGCCCTCATCAGCCGCATCCCCAGCGTCGTAGCGTCGTAGCGTCGTAGCATACTTGCAATGGTGGTTCATGCAGAACCGCACTCACCTTGCTGCCCTCGTTCGATGGCATAGACCCCATCCGTTGGGTGGCTAGGGATGAACAGCAATTTGAACTAAAAGAGACCCCACCGGAAAGAAAAGTGGCAGCAGTTGTGGGTTGGTTGTGGGCTGTTTAATTAATTTTTATTTCTCTATAATTTTCCTGATTTGTTTCCTATTTGGAGTTAATTAGAATTTCTATTATTTGTTTCCTATTTGGAGTTAATTAGGATTTCTATTATTTGTTTCCTTTTTGAAGTTAATTAGGATCTCTAGTATTCTATTTACTATTTGGAGTTGATTAGAATTTCTATGATTTTGTTTCCTAGTTGGGAATTAGCAAATAGGTACTTAAACTCCTTGTTAGGATTCATTCTTGCTAATCTATTAATAAATTGGATTTCAGCCTTTTGACTCTGGGCAACGGCTTCTACCATTGATTATTCTGGGCAACGGTTTATTCTGTTGATTTTTATTTTCCATTCTCATCAGACATGGAGCGGAGCTTCGAAGCACATTAACCATCTATCATATTATATTGTTTTGTGATAACAAGTCAAGAGTCCAACTATTGATTAACATCAATCTTCTATCCATCTCATAAATAAAAAACAAGATTGAAAGTAAATCATTATAGAATGTTTTGTTTTTATATTGATAGAGCACAGGTACCCATATACGAAGTATGTATTATTCTAGAGAGATGTGAGAGCTAGAGAGAGGACTGAGTATGTATGTTATGAATTACTCTTCCTTTACATAGCTCCCAAGAGGAGTATTTATGAAGAAAAATGTGGGCTCGACTACTATGTTAAGTGTGGCAGGCCTAATTATATAAAACGACTAATAAATGGTATAAAAACTATTCTAAAGAGTACAAATGAATATCTAAGGTGTATAGTAATATTAGGGTTGGGCAAGAGACCCGGTCCTGTTAATCTGTTTCGGAACGTTCCAGTTCCGTTCCGAAATTGTCCCGTTAAACTAGGGACACACTTTTTTGTCCTATTCTGGTCCCAAACCGTTTCAAAACAAAACGGGACCGGGACAAATAAAATAAGTCGCATTCCGTCCTGTTATCCCGAATTCAAAATTGTATGTTGTTGTGGGTTAGTGAGTCTACCATCTATTCAATAATAAATCCAAATAATAGTAATGTTCATTTCATTCCACAACCCAAATATCAATGAGTATTAGAGATTAGTTATCTAACATGCAGAACACCTAAAGGAGTCCAAACTACCTAATATGAACTATCTTCTATATACTAAAAAGAAACTCACTTTTACTCCTACATGTTTTACTTCTGATAATATTGTTTTAGCATTTTTTATTTTTGCAGATTTCTTAGTAGTATTGTGTCATTGTGTGTGTTGGTGTTATTGTTGTTGTTACAATTTGTTTCGTGCAACTGTCCTATTAATCTACTGTTTTTTTGTAATGCATTTATCGTAAATTTCTTTATGTGTTGCATTTTTAGTGTTGTAGTTTTTTGTCATGAAGTTTGTTTATCACTTTGATGTATTTTTGGTGTTGTATTTTTCTCGCTGCAAATTTTTGGGATGTCCCGGACCGTCCCGTTCTGTCCCAGAGGGTCCAATTGTTTATCATCATTTATTGTTTGAAAAAAGACTTGACTTCATTGTTACTCTCCTGTGGTGCTATGTGCTCTACTTGCGCAACATGCTTACCGCTGAAAAACATTCAGCGAACCCTCAGAAGCCAGAAAATCTATAAGGTGTCTACTTCATCATAATCTTTGCAAGTTCTTTCTTCTTTTCAGCTTGTAGTTTTCATTTATTTTGTCATCTTCTTTGTGATCCTTTCATTTTGTTCTTTCAGTATATCTTCTTTCTTTACTTTTATTAGTTCCAGTCATTTATGCCTACTTTATGGTTATTTTTTCTGCTAATATATTCTATGCAGCTCAAACATAATTTATGTACCTGATCTACCAGTTTACATGTGAACAACATATTATTTCATCTTATTATACAGTCTATAACTCTATATCTTCCTAGTATCATCATTTCATAACAACATATTATTTCATCTTATTATACAGTCTATAATAATTTATGCTATTCTTAGTGCTAAAATTGCAAAAACAACAAAGACAGACCCCACTCAGTCTTTTGTTTTGTGAACCATGACATTTCTTTTGGTGAATCAGGACTTTATTTTTTAGAAACATGACTTTTTTATGCATTTAGTTCAATATGATGTTGCATATGTCGTATTGGATCACCCTAGAATAGTATATATAATATTTTCTAAATAGTGCACTTCACCCGAGTTAGGCAAGCGCTTTTTTGCGCCTTGCGCCTCAGGCAATACAAGTACTATAGCGCCTTAAGTGTGACTGCGACTTTGACTACCTTGCACCCAACCCATATCAAATTAACACTACCGGGGCATGCCCGGGTGTTACACTAGTTCTCCACATATAGCAAAGTATGCTTGTTATTGCAACTTTTGAGTCCCCAGATATAAATCCAGATTTATAGCTATTACTACTTCGGTTCTTCCAACCCAAAATTGCCTTCCCGCTTTGACTTGGCATGTTTATTAAGAATAGTAAATTAAATTGTATGGTTGTGGTTCATTACTTCATTAAGAATAAACAGAAGCACTACCAGCAACACAAACCTTCCCTTGAAAAAAAGGGAAGAAATCTTTGGGATAGCCCAAAAAGGAAAGGAAGATGGGAGAAAATTTTTGGGATAGATCAAGCAGGATTTAACAAGATGCCAAAACTATGTAACAGCTCTAACATGGCTGAAAAGCAGTAGCCATTATTCAATTTTACCACTAACGTTATATAAAGTAGTTCAGGTTAGCACATACCTTGTGGATATTTATAGGTAATTCCCTCTTCTCAGTTGCTGTAGGCGTCCATAATTTAATGTCAGACTCAATACCACTACTGGCAAGAACAGCGGTGTGAGGATGAGATTCAATGCAATTGACAACACGTCTGTCTCCTTCCATAACATTGACAAGCTTCCCGCCCTTTTTCTTCCATATGAAAATCCGACCACAGTCTGACCCACTCACAACATATTCACATTTAGGTCCAAAGAAACCAACACCCTTCACGGTTTTAGAGTTTTGATGTCCCTTGTAGGCTTGGGGCTCATCCTCTACACTAGCATCACTTTGATTGGACGGCGTGGAAATGAAAGGAAGGTCAGGTCCAAGACCCATACTTTTTGAGAAAAGATAGATGCACTCATCAACATAGGAAACGAGAAGCTCACTCTGGTCTGAAAAAGCTAAGCCAGTTATGCTCACACCATGATCTCCAACTAAATGAGAAGGACAAAAGAAGTCAACAGGTTGACCATAAATATCTGAACTGCCGAACTTAAAGTTGCGGAGATCAAAAAGCCTAGCATATTCATCTGACCCAGCAACCGCAAAAAGGTTTGAGTTTCTGGGATCTATTGCAATTGCATTCAGATAAACAACAGAACTAAAACTTCGGTAGTTGAGAGCTTCACATGTAAAGAGTACTACGGCAGCTCCTGTTCTCAGATCAATCTGTGATTACATCATACATGGGGAGTAATAAGACAGTTGCGACCACAAATCAGAAATAGGAAAATATAAGAAATAAGAACACTTCAACGATGAATAAGTTCAAGGAGAGGTAGTACTAGCTTACACGTTGAACAAGTCCATCTCCACCGCAGCTGTAGAAAATGTGAGGACTTCCTGGTTCAATTGCCAACATATGAGTTGGTCCTGAATGTCTTGCAAGCAATTTTGTCTCCACTTTCCCATGTGGTAGAATATGAGCACATCTTATCTGAAAGAAGTTAGATGTCATAACGAAAGAATGACACTCTTTCCCTATCAGACTCTCAGCACATAGTAATGATCACACATTGACGCTTTATAAGTCCCACTATCATACATAAGAGCATGCAATTATAAGAGCAGATTCTAGAAGATGTCTAAGTATCCTCAGGATTCAGGTCAGTTGCAATGAGCACATATTATTACACTCCATAGTCTATAAAATCCCAGAAGCTATATGTGTGGATCTCGGAAATTTGTAGGGGAAGAAAAAAATCCAAACAATAAGGTCTTCTGTGTATAGTTTTACATTGGAAAATACCAAGGAAAATCAAATTTTGATTTTTTTTTTTAAATCTTAGCAGTGTTTGTACATGTTTTTCACCCACCCATCCAAAAAAACCTTCCAAAGAATAACTCTCCTTCTAACTTACTTCCCTTAGCATTTTATGGGATTCAAATGGACTCTAAGAAAAATAAAATGTGAAAAATAATAGTGGAGTATATATAGCACATCCACAAAGACACTCACATTCAACATTGCAACCAAATGAGGTTAAGTAACATGTAAAACATGGGAAAATACAAGCAAGTATCGCGACCCTTGGTAGATACCCGTCCATCAGCAGCAGAGGTAACGATACATTGATCATCAGTGTATGGCATGAACTTGGCCTGAAAGACATTATTATGATGTCCGGACTGAAATGAGAGTTTAACATTCCCAGTTTGCCAGTCCCAAAGTATAATCCTGGTATCATCAGAGCCTGATACAAGGACGTTACCATCATGATTGAAGCTGATTGTATTGACACAACCTCTGTGCTTTTCTAGCTTCCGAAATATCTCAAAGCGCTTCACAAGGTCCTGCCCACCAATACAGAGAAAGAAAGAGAGAAAGAAGAATCACCATTGCAAATCAATCATTCGTCTGTTGGTGAGATGCCAATTAAAATAAAACCGCAGCCACAAAAGAAGCCAAGGCATTGGCTCACTGCAGAAGTTTTTCACAGCTAAAACCTTAAATTACATTTTGATCATTAAATAAGCTAGGGAAAGGGGGAAAAGTACTAAGAAAAGTTATTCTCCTATGTTCGGTGTTACCTTGAGATTTGAGAAATACAAAGGAGAACAACACGAGGAGCTATTTTGAAAATTCACACATATTTATACAGCTGGACTTTATATGATGGGCAAAAAAGATCTAAAATATTGAGTTGTTACGTAACTTATATTTTCCTACACATTTTCTTTCCAATCATCCTCTATGTTTTCCTTCCTTTTCTTCACTTGTGTTTTATATATCCAAACTGACCTTAAGAAAATACAACACCCTTATGTAGTTTCTCTAGGGTTTGTGCTCATAGCCTCTCAACTATCTAAGTCATTGTTGAGCACTTTGAGTCCTCCTCATGTTTGAGACTACTATGTTATGACTCCAACCATTATACAATATGTATGTGCACATTTTGATAAATCTTCATTCCCACAATTCCACAAACCACCATATTGAAAAGTATTCAAAGTACACAGCTGGGCTTCATTACCTTTGCTTCCCCAACTTAAATGCACACATATGAATAATTTACTGATGCCAGAAAACCGCGTTCAAGTGGAATTCATACTCCCTCCTTGACTCTGTCCTACTCAACTTTGTCATTTTACTATTCATGTAATCAAATGAGTTTACTTTTATTCTCTTATTTAAAGTATCAAGTTTTTATCAAATTTGAATTCAGTTTTTGAGGCATCAAAGAACTTTTAGTCTACAAGGAGGAATTTTCATCAATAATCATCTTAAAATATAAATGGCCATGTTGAGTACCACGGAGGAATAGTAAGGGAAAAACACAAAAAGCTAAGTTTAAGAATTAGAATGTACCTATCGAATGAATGCAAGAAAACAAAACCGGAAACGAGAAAGGGAAAACCTCGGGGGCGGCGAGACGGAGGGCGAAGTTTCTGGGAGAGAGTTGGCCGACCTCTCGTTTCCACACATCGACTATCGCGGTGTCCAGGCCAGTGGCTGCCCTGTTTCTCATGGTTGGGCGATTTGAGAATGACTTCGGTTTTCTTCGTTTAATTGGCCATACAAGATTCCGAGATACCTGGATGAAGACGAGCTAGAGTGTGTTACTCTAATTTTCTTAATCTTACGAGCTACTCGAGCTACAGTGTCACTCAAATTTTTTTATAAATTTGTTTATGAATATGGATTATGTTAATCCATAGACAATGGACTTTTAAATTTATAAATTTTTTTATGAATGAATTATATTGACTTTTAAATCAATGGATAAGTTTATTGACTTTCATAAAGTATATAGACTTTTAAATGTGGGTCGTCACTACTAGTCGTTGGAATTATCACCTAGATCTGATCTGCCTGTCCGCCTTCGTCATCGGAGTTCCCCGCCGTCATCGCACAGATTCCTCACCAACAAAATGACTTCGGTTATGCAATGGAACTAGGGACAATTAATTATATTAAGTAATTAATTAAGTTAGGAGTGAATATGCAATATTTAGTCCACATTAAAGAAAATCAACATATGATCATACTCTAAGAAAAATGTTATGTTTTAGTTACATATTACTTTCCATTTTTGAGTGTTAAATTTGATTCTTTGTTCATAGTACCCGTTTTATGAAGTAGTTGTTGTTACGAACTCTTTGTTCACAAAACAGGGAATTCTGCTAATCGTGATATTAATCGTGAGTATTGTCCTTTCAGGTGGTCATGATGATTTCTGCCGGTTATTATAGAACTCAGAGTGATTTGCAAGGACCTGTGTCGATGTATCCTGTGTCGTATTTGGCATTTCATACTTATTTTCGCCGGGCAAGTTTGGAAATCCATACTCTACTTATAAAGTTCGGATAGAGTGAACTTAGAACGTGATGAACTTGAGTGAACGTATGTTTATTATGCATATGTAAAATGTTATCCCGATAATTATTACGGTATTAAGGCAATTTTTTTTGGATGGTGCTTATGCTAGGTAAACGTAGTAAAAGTATTTATAAAGATAAACTTACGAAAACCTTTGTTTCAAAGGTTATGCTTCGGCAGTGATAGAATGCGAACTAGGCGCCCAGCATCTGGTAATGAAATTATATCAGGCTTATCCCGGGTACAAGGATGTACACAATGTTCTAAAAGGCACTAGGCACTAGTCGGGTGCCAGCCCAGTGCCTAGGCGGCTAGACGGGCGCCTAGGTGCCTAGGCGGGCGCCTAGGTGCCTAGGCGGGTGCCTAGTCGGGGACTAGTCGGAGAAATAGAAATTACATTTTTATCTATATTTTTGTATAAATATGATAAGTAATGTTGTATTTTTGTGTGTTTAAAATACATATATACATATACATTAACAAACATGAAAGATAGAATTATCACATTTAATCATACGTAGTATATGATAACTAATCACTTAACTTCATTATGTTATAAATATAAATAATGATAAAATTTAGGTATATATACAAACATATATAGTTTATCTTAATTTACAACTTCATTTCTTTATATTCATGGTTAAAGTTAAAGTGAGTATATCACTTGGAAAATTAAAATTAAAAAAGTAAAGTAATGTTCGACGAATCTAGAAGGCCTATGCGGCCGATCAGGCGCTCTAGGCGGGCAACTAGGCGCCATAGGCGGCCGACTAACTCACCTAGTCGGCAAACCAATTAGTCGGACCGCCTAGACGAAAATCGAGGCGCCCGACCACCGCCTAGCGCCTAGGCGGGGACTAGTCGGACGCCTAGAACGATTTTTAGAACAGAGGATGTACATATATATTTGTTTAAACTGTACAAACTAATTTATTACATACATAGGCTTAGGAAAAAACTAGAGCCTAGTTCCCATGTTAGGATTTATCTGTGCTAGCTAGGCCATGACTTTTACCCCAATAAGGATGTGACAGTGTTGTTTGTCACGGCTTTTGCATACCTGATGACACTCTTAGGAATGTATACCGCATATATGATGACACTAATCCCAAATGGGAAAATGTGCTAGTCCTGTATGGCTTATCGTGTACTTATTTTGTACTCGTTTTTTTGTCAAGAAAAACATTTCTGTAAATAGACATTTCCCATGCTGGTAAAGGCCATGATCATAGATTTGTTAAACATTAGTTCTTTGGATTGTGCTACTTTCGCTACATTTTGAACATAATTTTAATTGGGGGTAGAAAATATATACAAGAAATGAGAAAATACAGTGACATTGTTCTTCTGGATACAACTACAGTACACACAAATTAAACAATTGGATGAGTGAGGTTTAGGCTTCTCTTAAATCATTTCACAACAAACAAATATAAAGGCATACATAAATCGTTTTCTTGTTTGGTCCCATACTTGAAAAACTTATTAAACTAGTTCAAGCTTATGAAATAAGTTTCTCCATCCAAACTATCCCTTATTTAAAAATCTGCTTAAAAAGTTAATAACTACAAAGTACTAGGCATTTGAACATAAATAATTTTATCTCAGAATTGTATGGTTTGTGATTAAAATAAATCAGTATGGTTTTTGATTAAAATAAATCAAAATAAATACGTCATGAAAACAAAGGTAAAGTCAAATTTACCCTCTTTTGGGTAAAAACATAGAGAGCTTAATGCAGGGGCGGACCTAGGCATCGAGGCCAGTGTATGCACACATATAGAGCCTGTTTGGTAATACGAAAATCGGCTGAACTGGCTGATTCTGCTGAAATTTATGAAATTCTGGCTGAAGTGGCTGGATTGGCTGATTCTGTTGATTTAAAAAAAAGATTAATATATTTTATTAATAAAATAAAGAAAAAGTTATATGTAAAATAATTGAAATAATCGTCTACAGTAACTTCTGCCAATACTGCCAGAAAAGTAACTTCGACCTTACTTTTTGTTATTCTTACACAACTCAGCGCGCGAAATCAAAAGTTACGTATTTGGTGAAAAAGTTGGCTGATAAGCCCGATAAGTCGAAAAACAAGACTACCAAATGGCCTCAAAATATTACAATTACATTTTAATCGGAATATAACACAAATAAAATTATACATTAACAAAATTGTAGTAAAATTCAAAGAACATTTTCTTGTTAAATAAAATACTAATAAGAATTTATTACTTGAGACTAAAGAACAAATTGAAAGAATAAGTACTTGAAGAGGAGTGATTAGTGGACCCATAAGATGTGAGTAGTTTATTTTACGTTTGCTTCTTTTTTGTTTTACGTATTTGAGTAATTTGTTTTAAAAAAATGTTATTGGGCATTTAGATAGATACCTATTTCACTATTTGTAATTTGGGCTTCCAATTTAGCATGGGCAGTGATGTAAGATAAAACGATTTTGAATGCTGTATTTAAAAATAAAAAATAGTGAATGCACCCAAGTAGCTTCGAACACCTGACGTGAAGCACTGTTAGATTCTAAAAGAAAGACTAAAGCCATCTAGGCTAATGACCATTCTAAAAGAACACCCTCATTATACGGTAAGTCCGCCACTGGCTTAATGTAAACAAGTTGATCTAAAAACAATACTCTGTTCAAAAAACTAAGAAAAGACAAACTGCTTCTGTAAGTAAATGAATTTTATTTATCATAAAGTCTACTGATTAGAATGTAAGCCACATTATGCCATTTAGCCATTTAAAGATGCAATTTACTTTTAAATTATTTCTAAACCCCTCTCCTTTGCGCTGATTGCTTCTTCTGTTTTATTGATTGTAAGACACCGGCATCACTTGTTCAAAAAACTATGCATTAAATTAGTCTTTACTATTAGCTAATACTTTCACAATCTCTATTTCCATTTCTGTGATTTTCAGAAATCCATAAGTTCATTATACATGCTTTACATTCACTAGTGGTTGATATTGTGTTTTTTTTCTGTTCCTATTAAGTAAACTCATTAAAATGGTCTTTCCATCTAATTAGTGAGATGCAGGATTGAGTTGGAGGCTGTTGCTGAAGGTTCCCAGGTTTGCGCGCTGCGTTTTAGGTTTGTGCTCAGCTACTGATTTGCGCTGAAGGTTTCTGGTTTGTGCTGAAGCTTCCCAGGCTGCGTTTTTGTGTTCCAGCTTTGCGCTAAGCCTTCGAGAAACAAGAATTAGTCGATCACTTTACGATCGTTAGGTATCACTGTATCAGTAAGGGTAATATAGATATTTGATTTATTTTTAATAATTCTTATTTAATTTAGTGGTTGTGTTTAGTAAAAAGGTGGTCGTGAATAGAATTTCCCTACAAAATTACGTTCCAATTCGGCCCAGGCCTTCCACATGGGCTTCCCCGTTCCGGTTTGGCTCACAACCGTATCGCCGCCGTCAAACTTCACATTCTCAATCATAATCTGGACGGCGGGCAGTGGCTAATGTATGGGCAGTTGGGCCAGGCAATTGTCTTGGGTCTCACATGCCAAAGGGGCCCCAAAATAAAATAAAAACTATTAGTATTAGTAGTATAGTGCGTAGTATTACCTCCGTCCCACTCAACTTTGCCAAGTTGATATTAGGTGAGAAATTAGAATAGTAAAAATTGTGTGGTTGAAATTTTTACAGAGGAGAGAGAAATGAACAGAGCCACAAATTCATTGGTGGCAAAGTTTTTTGGAACAAACAAAAGGGGAAAGTTTAGGGGACGGAGGGAGTAATTTATAAGGATAATAATTAATCAAAACTTGCCTTACGGCTTGGTGCTTAGCTGCTCTGAACTGCAGATTTTTAACTCTCCAAGCTATTGAGCGAGTAGCGACCATCCGCCGTGCCGATTGCTAAAGACTCGAAGTGCCGAAGACCGGCCGCCGCTGAGTGCCAGCCTGCCGACTGTGACTCTGAGTCTCCGACCTCTGTAAGACTCTTTCGCTCTGTATCTCTGATTTTTCTAAATCTCTAATTTCACTCCTAAATGAGTAATTGATTGATAAATTGACCTAATTGGGTAAAGTCAAAAGCTTTTAAGGCTGTAAAGAGTAAAAGAGGCAAAGAGCCAAAGGCCAAGTGCCTAACCGCCTAAAGCCTGAAGGAGTAAAGGTTAACTGGCTTACTCGATAAGAATAAATTAAACAAAAATTCTTACCCCAAAATGTACCCCTGAATTGCCTGTGTACACAGACGGTGTATAGATTGGGTACAAATTGAGGTACCCCAAGCAGGACTCTAAATTAAATTACTCCATACTATATACGGCACACAACTCAAGTATTCAATTAGACAAGCAATAAAGGCATAGTTGTTAGGGTCAATTGATTTTAAATTTTTAATAAATGAATGAATATACCTTTAGTCTTTTACTAGTTTTAACCGTCAATATCTTCATCAGCTAGCCGAATATTTTTTTTTAACTAGACAATATGTCATCCTTTCAAAAACAAAAAACTAGACAGTATGTCACTATGTCAGTTAGGTAATAATACTTGATTTGTTTGTGATTTTTGTTACTTTGTTATTATCGATCATCTATGAATATTATCGTCACTCATCATAGGCATATTTATCAATTGAAAAAAAGTGTTGGGATTCTAGTGATGTTATTACTGATCATTTTGCACTCTATAAAGCGAGAAGAATAGGTCACTTACAAGTACAAGTCTCCGGGTATTTTGTACTAGTATATGTTTGCAGTATTGCATTTAAAAAATTATCCTTTGAATATTAAAAATATTACATCGTACACATTAAATATGTTTTTTTCTATATGTTGTTTTTTTATTGAATTTATTTCTTTTGAACATGATGTTTGCATGGTAAGTATTTTTCTGTCTAGGCCTCCGAAAGGCTAAAGACGTCCCTGACGGCCGGCTGAGTATTCTTCAAAGCAATGAACCCAATTCAAAGACTTTATTTCGTCATTCTTAGAAAACCTCTTCTAAACCCAACTGCCTCCACTCGTGCGGCTCTCCGCCGTCTCTCCGTCAAAACCGGTGACGACGAGTGGAACGTCGCGTGGGAGACCGCATGGCTGCCGGAGGATCTATCGGGGAAGAACCGAGCTCCTTGGGAGACTGACGTTAACTTCTCGCTTGCCGATGACACCTCGAACTCTTCTCATACTCCTCTTTCGTCGGAAGTTGACGGCGAAACCAGGGCATTCGTGGAGGAGATGAACGACAATTGGGACCAGAGAAAGGGGAAAAGTCCCAAAAAAAGCTCAAACACTGATGATATTGCCAAGAAAAATGAAAATGAGAGGTCCATTTATAGTTTAGAGAATATGAGGAAGGATTATAGGGTTAAGAAACAGAGAATACATGCGGGATTGTGGGTGAAGGAGATTGAGAAGATGGAGGAAGCGAAGCTTGGAGTTGGCGGCAATGCTGATGATATCGAAAAGTTGCTGGATAGCGCCTCCGAGTACGTATATCATTTTTTTGCAATGCTGATTTCTTCTACACTTCTTCTGCGGATTGGAATGTGAAATTGGTTGTTGAAACAAGTGCAGGATTTTTGACTCTGCAAATGATGACTTGAAGAACTATTTACAAGTGTCAGGTTGTGATATAAAAAACAAGCCGGATGGATGGGAAACAACAGCAAAGAGTGTAGATGGGAACATCTGGGAGATGTCACAGAGAGAAGAAGATCTTTTGCTTCAAGAGTTTGAGCGTCGAATTGCATTCAACAAGTTCCAGGTTTGTTGAGGCTTGCTTGTCTGATTTTGCTGATAGACATTTTTTAGATACAGAATGTTAGTCAACTTTATTTTCATTTATTGTCACATTACAGATAGGGAGCTTTATAAAGACACACATATTCAGTAGAAGGAGACCAATTGATGGGTGGAAGTACATGATTGAGGAGATAGGACCAAATGCAAGGAAAGGAGGGAAAGGAAGTGTTACCAGGTTACCCACTTTAGCTGATGCGTCCACTCAGCCCTTTCATCAAGAGGGCACACCAACTCCACATCATTCTCAAAGAAGAACAAGGACAAGAGCCAACTAGCTCTTCTTCTGCCAGTTGCACCAAGAGTAAACCAAAAGGGAAATAAGCAAAAGAACACCACCACTCCATGAATCTGTGTATTATTTTAGCTAAACCGTGCAGTTAAATAATATGCACATGCATGATACTAAGAAAATTCCTAGGAACCCTCTTTTGTGTTGGCTTAATTATCTAACTTGGGCGGCTTAATCATCTACGTTTTTGTCATATTATTAGGTCCCAATATCTTCAATTTTCTTAGCTACTCTAATTGGCTACAAGTTTTCATATCATTGCTAAGTTGATAATTTATGCAGTTTGGCAAGGTTGCGACGTTGCGTACATTTGACCCTCTTACCCTACCATAGGTGGGAGCCTTTGCAACATTGGGGGTAATGTTGTTGTGGTAATTTATTCGTATGTTCATCACGTCATACCTAAATGAAGTGATAAGAATCAACAAAGCGAAAAACTGTTAGCTTTTTGACATTCTATCATTGTATGTCTCAAAATCTCAAATCGATTGGTTCGGTATGCTACAATAGTGGTGAAGGGGGTGTTGATGATTGTCGAACCGCCTCTGCTGATTGGGTGAAATTTTGGCTTAGTCTATAATGTTAGAGTCACTCATGATATTAGAGTTACTTTCACTGGGCCTAATGTCATGAAGCATTCAGGGCATTTATTTATTCTTCCTACTGAGACTCTAAATAATGTGATTGGTGATAAAATTCTAATATTAGAATCTTTTCTTGGTTGGTTGTGGCGATGTTGTCACTTGTTAGTAGTGGTGGACTCAGTTTTCATGTAGTGGGGAGGGATTAGAACCAGAAACAGGTATAACCAGTCTGGTTCTTGGTTGGTTTCGATCAGGTTGATCCTGGGCCACTTTTGGCGCATTCAAATATGCATGTCCAGAACCAGTGTGGTCCTATTTTGGAGAAATCGGACCAGATATGCATGTCTAGAACCAGTGTGGTCCTATTTTGGAGAAATCGGACCAAATATGCATGTCCAGAACCAGTGTGGTAATATTTTGGAGAAATCGGACTAGATTCAGCCTGGTACTAATCTGGAAAACCAAATCCATCTCAGGCGGAAACTGGCCATCTCGATCGCGTCAAGTCAAAGAATAGGCCAGTCCACCTTAGTTGCAAACGATGGAAGTGAGCCCAGCTTCCCAACCAATGACCAGGTGATCAGATGGCAATGGTGTTGCATGAAAAGATCTGCCAGTTTCGATCTGGTCAAGTAAGAGGATTGGGGTTGGTTCCGCCTGTAGTTGTGACTTGTGAATAGGCCTGGACTCGGGCCGGGTAGGCCTGACCCGCGGGGGTTCTGGTCCGGGCTCGGGCCCCCCAAATCATGAACCGGTCCGGCCGGTTCGAGCCCGGTTCTGGGCCTTTTTAATTTTTTTTTCGATTTTTTTTACTTTTCGTGTTGGGCTGGGTATTTTGGACCATTTTTTTTTTGGGGGGGGGGGGGGGTTAACTAGGAAAAGGAAAAAAAAAAATACAACAAAGGCCTGAGACCCGGCCCTGCCCGGCCCGACCCGGACCCGGGGATTACCCGGGCTGGTTTCGGGCCCCCCATTCCAGAACCGCCGGCCCGGGACCGAACCGTCCCGAGTCCAGCCCTACTTGTGAAAGTTGGAAGTGAGTCTAACTATTGATCCGGAGTGATCGTATGTCAATGGTGTTTGCATGAAAGTACTGGCAATGGTTGTATTAGTTGTTAGTGATGAATGTTGTGGCAAATAGTTTCCATCTGAAAATACGAAAATACTAAAGAAGAGACTCATTTTTCAAACTAGGAGACATTCTTTTCTTTTCAGTTATCTGAATGTCCTGAAAGTGGGAAAACTTTCCCCTAGTAATTCTAATTGATATCAAGTAATACCGCTAGGGTGTTACGATTAGGTAAAGATAAACGATAAATTAAGAGCAAGAACACAAGAATTAACGTGGTTCACGCAATCGGGGTGATTACGCTAGTCCACGGCGAACGATAGAGAGGATGTATTATTATCAGCGTCCCAAGCGGTTTACAAGTACATAAGAGTCGTTTAAATAGGTTTAGGAAAACCTAAACTGAGATTAGAGCCGCAGGCCCAAAATTAAGCCTGTTTTTAAAATTCCCGTCGCCTGACCCGGTCGGGTCTCTTATTTGACCCGGTCGGGTCTCCTTCACAGAACACAAACCCGGTGGAAACCAGGTCGGGTTTCCAAAACAGAAGGCTTCTGCCTTGCTGACCCGGTCGGGTCCCTACCCTGACCCGGTCGGGTCTCACACCCAGTAAGGTCCCCCGGTCTCTGCTTCAACATACCCGGTCGGGTGGCCAACCATACCCGGTCGGGTATCTGCTCTGAACCTAAGAACAAGACTCCATCTTCAACAATCTCCCACTTGGAGGCTTGGTCAACAATCATCTGCCATCCAAGAACATGTATCTTCTGTAAAACCCCTGATCTCTCTCTCTTTCTCTGTGATACCTTGAAAAATTGAAATAAAAATAAATAAATAAATCAGATAAATTATATCTGATAAATCAAATGAAAGTAAGATCAAAATATTTTTTTATACTTGGTGTATAAAAATATACGCACACTACATGCAATAGAATTAAACACTTATGTAGCATCGAAAAAAAATGGAAATAAATCAGATAAAATATAGGTGACATAATAAGTAAATAAATAAATAAATAAATAAAAATAGTAAGAATATTATAAATTACTAATAATAGCATCAAATTAATAAATGAAAATATCATATCATAAAACAATGACACATGCTAAGATCATCTACCAAATAATGTATATACATTATGTACATATATTTATATGTAAAACTCAAAATACATTTAAGTAATTAAAAATAATAATAATAAAATAAAATAAAATGAAACATCAATATAAATGGGAATCAAATCAGGGATCAATACACATGCCATGTTCATCAACTACCAACCTATCATTATGTATAGACATTATTATTTTTATTATTATTATTATTATTATTATTATTATTATTATTATTATTATTATTATTATTATTATTATTATTATTATTATTCATACAATTATCAAATAAATAAAATAAACCATAAGGACCATCTAGACCTATAAATACACCCTCTTAGCCATCCTAAACACTGCAAATCGGAGAGATAGAAGCTATATATACATATACATATATATACATAATCTCGCCGGAAAATTTATGCCTATAATATTTTATGTATCAAACTTCGTAAAAACGATAGAGGAGGGTCGTGAGAGGTCTAGGAATACTTCCCAATAAATTCCAGACCGATTCGTAGTCACCGGAGTTTCCTAGAGGTCGCCGGAGTTGCAAGCCGTGGAAACGGGTCTTTAGAAAAGACACGATTTTGCCGTAGATAGGGGTGGCGGAGCTTCTCCTCGACGTGAGGATCATTTTGCAACTGGAATCGTCGAAATCCGTTACCTGTAAGTAAAGTTATCGCTCGCCGGAGTTTTCGGATTCCGGTCGCCGGAATCGCGACCTGGAGAAGAGCTGGGAAGGAGACAACCCAGTCTTCTTGGGCAGGGTCGCGAATTTGGGCCGGTTTGGCCCGTTTTCAATAAAAAATTTAAAATAAAATAGTAAATGAAATAAATAAAATCTGGAAAAATATAAATTAAATACCTGGTATAAAAATACATATTCGGACCAAGAATAATTGAAAAATAATATTTGTAGCTATTTTTAATTGATTTAATTGTAATTGGGCCAAGTTGTACACATTTAGTAAATAATTAACTAAATGACGAAAATAATTATGAAATAAATATGGGAGCAAGCTAGATTAAATATATGACTAACTAGGACATTTGGGACCATTTATAATTAATAAAAATTATAATTTGCATATTTAATTGTAATTAAACCGGTTAATAGATATAAGAAATTAAATGAATAAATAAAGGAAATAATTCTAAAATAAATATCTGGACAACCTAGGTCAAGTATAGACCCAAAATATAGTTATGGATGATTAGTAATTTATAAAAGTGATGATTAAGTTATTTAATTTAATTGAGCCATATAAACTAGTTAAGTAATTAAATAAGGAAATTTTGATATTAATGGTGAAATAAATAAATCACTAAGATTGAAAATAATGTTCTGGACTTAAAATGATGTTTGTAATAAAATAAGGAAAAGAAAATAAAGTTGGGTTATAAATGAATGACTATATTTGGACTTAATAAATAAATTATTGAATTAGTTGACTAATTAAATTAGCGTGATTAAATTAATAATTATTATCCTTGATTATTAGTGATTTGGACTCCATATAAATTATTAAACTATTTGAACTCATAAAAAATTAGTTGATGAATATAAACAAATTAATTAAGTAATGTGTACTTAATAAGTTAGTTAATTGACTTCATTGGACTAGTTTAACTAAATCAATTAGTTTAATGGATAAATTAGTTAATTTATAGACTTGATAACATTTCTGGAATTTATATTAAAAATAGAAAATTAAAACGAGATTAGAATTTGATTATTGGACTTAATTGAATTAGATTAACGTATTTAGCTATATTGATATAATTAAACTTATTTATTTGATTTAGTTAGTTCAATTAAATTAGTGAGTCAAATAAATAAAACTGGAGGATTGGATAAATTAATTTAATTGGGTTAGTTAGTATAAATAAAATATTGAACTAATTAAAGTTGTTATTGAGATTAGATTATCATTAATGATTATTATTTCGAATTATTGCCTAAGTCAAGTTATTATTAAAAGGGTTATTAAATAAATTATATAAATTATGTAAACTGAATTTTGAACTGAAATTGATTATTTAAATTCGAAATAATGAAATTATTATGTAGTTAATATAATTGGACTAGTAAACTATTTAACCAAACAAATTAAGAAAAACTGAGTTGGGTTATTATAATTAAAGAAAATAATAAGAATGAACTGGAAATAAACAGTTAGTAAGATTTATTAATTTAATATTTATATTTAAAGAAGGAATTATGAAGTTAAAGTAATTAAAGGTTGGATATAAAAGAAATAACGAAATAATAGAATAGTTATTGATTTAGAATTTTGATCAATATTAGAAGGTGAATTCAAGTGAAGATCAAGCTAGAGATTTTATTAAGGAGATTATCGCAATTTAAAGTAAGTTCTATGTCAACCAAAATGTTTTGCCTCGTACTTAATTATATGTATGCAATATTTGCACTATGTGAATTATTTATGAATTGGAAATTATATGTTTGACATGGATCGAATATTTTGACTATATGAATATTGCTGGATTATTACCTTTTATGGATGATTAAATGTATATTCTTTTTATTAAAGAATATTGGTGGATTTACATTTATTACAAAGGAT